TTTCAACTGCTGATTGCCCCTTTAATTTTAATTTCTAATTGAGCCCACATATGCAGCGTTTACCATGAATGCCATCTCCGCGACCGCGGGAACATTGCCTTTAATTGTCAATCGCGCTATAAAGCGGATCTTTAGTGCTACGGATTGAATTGAGACCTGACTATGACATAAAGTCCAGTCATGTTATTAGCTGAGTGTTGGTGTGAGCTCTTACCTCATGGGTCTTTAACCCCTTGGTCATGGCCCACCAGCAGTAGCAGTTGGCCTTGAAGAGCGGTGTTCCCCAGGTGAACGTTGCAGAACTGTGGTCGATTTTGGAGAATTGCAGGTTCCGCGCCTGGAGTGCTGGGAGAAGAAGGGGCATAGTTCTAGACAAATGTCTTCTCTCTACAAAAATAACAATGTGTCTCAAATTACATAACCACATTATGTTATAGAACAATCACTGCAGAAAACGTACAAATGATGCCCCTTTTCAAAAGAAACAGTATCAAGGGAACTGAGATCAATATGAGCAGAAGGACTACAACAGCACCAATGACACCACCTGTGACTTGGCTACAGTCACAGCATTTTCCATCTTTATGGAAGAAAAGAGGATATATTAAGCATTGATAATAAAATCCTATATATTGAGCTTGAAACTGTTCTCAATTGCATAGAATTTTTCAACAATCAACCACTTCATTTATGTTCATTATTCAAATTAACTAAATATAATATTAAATACTGATGAATGGGGGAGAATTATATTATTATTTTTACATTTACATTTACATTTACGTCATTTAGCAGACGCTCTTATCCAGAGCGACTTACAAATTGGTGCATTCACCTTATAGTTATGTCTCATTTTTTATAGATAGCTAACCAAAATATAATCTATATTCATGACCTCATAACTGTGACAGCAAAGAAACGTCTACACTAGAATACTTTACCCCATTTTTCCACAATTGGCTTCAGTAAATCAAACAACATTTGGTTTAGTTTTGGCAGAAACCTGTGGCCATGCAGGTCAGTCTGACATGTCCTGCAGTTTTGGCCTTTTTAGCAAATGCATGGACCTTTGGAGGGGCTAAAGAGAGAATTAACAGTTTTACAAAGTGTGGATTGCAGTCAATCCTTGTCTGTAGACGGCTTTAGAAGCAATATCTTTAAAAAAAAATTGTATCTGAAGTATCTGTTGCAAAAAGACCCTTTGAGTTATCCAAAGTTAGGCTACCCTATGTGAGGTTTAGAACACTATTCAAAAAGTACTCACAATCATCCCTACTGAAATCTTTCTCCCCACCCACTGCATAGTGGCATCATCAAAAGCCAGGAAGTCATCATCACTATTGTAGCTGTTCTGGTCAGTGCTGTTTATGAAATTCAATGTGCCGTCACTACATTGGTCAATCTCACAGCCATGCTTCCATTGAAGAATATGGAGATCTGAAAGGAAAAACAAGTAGAAGAAGAGAGAGAATGACTTAACCATACTATGGCATTGTACTTAGAGTCAAGTCTTAGAAGTTAGTACTTAGAAATTCATCCATTATGTTGGAGTTTTAGTAAAATATCTACATTAGGCTATGTAGAGTGATACAAATGCAAGCGTTGTTTCTCACCAGTGTTGTTGTGCTTCATGCGCTCCATCAGGATGTTGACATTGACTTTGAACCACTGCTCCTTGCTCTTGCATGGCTGATTGCCTTTTTCCTAGTATTCTGCTGGTAGCTTGTCCCTCATCCAGTCCTGTTTGGGAATCTTCTTCTTTGCCACACTGTCATAGTAGTCGATCTGTTTGTTGTTCATCAGACCCATGGCAGTGAACTCATGGATACCAGGCAATTCTACTGGCTTTGAGGGCAATGTAGATGTAATTTACTGACCATTTCTCTACTGGTCACAAAGAGGGAAACATGAGTTAGTCATGACTTCTGAGTAGAGATAAAATGCTTCTTCTTCAAAGACCAAAATAATTGAAGACGATTGTTTTAAGGAATATCAAATTAATTGGAATTCTAAATGAATGGATGATGGTGATAAAATGTACCTTAATCAATGTGTTAAATGTTTTTTATTATTTGTATTTAATAATCATTCAATTGCTGTTCACCACTTAGCCTACAATGGTTATTGAAAGAAACCAAACGAAAACTGATTCTGGATCAACGAAATTGGACACTTGGCTAGTCGGCAACATAGCATTTCCAACCAATCAAACTGTCCTTTTATGTTGCCAGGTGGGATGGTTTTAACAGCTGTACAGTCAATGGAACTTGTCAGCAACAGGCAAAACAAACATTGTAGATTAATTACCTATATAGTTTAGCCCTTGTGTGGTGTTCATGTTTTTGTTATTCACCCAATGTTCGCGGGTCTGATGGACCCACAGTATTATTGGGTTTTTAAAACAATGCAGCCATAACAATTTACGTAAAAATACTTAATACTTAGATGTTGACTTATATAAATTACAAGCAATATAGACAGCATACATTAATATTTGCCATTTACCGCTGCTAGATCACATTTAGCAATAAAAGCGTAAATCGTTTTTTTTCATAACATTTTGTTTTTGTAAAGAAAAATCAATTATAATCAAGACATGGGTGGAATAAATCATGTTTATATTGAACAAATACAAATGAAACAAGGTTTTCATCACTATTGATGTTTATTGCTTTGAACTGACAGATTTTACATCCAGTATTTTATGGAAATGATTAATGAGACGCTCCTTCCACACTAGTTTCTGTCTCTGCAAAAAAAAAATCTAAGGCCCTCTGAGTAGAGATGATCTTTGCCATACTGATTGATTGTGGTAAAGAGACACACATGCAAAGCTATTTATTTGATGTGTCCCTCCCCCAATTTGCACCTGGCTAGGGTAGAGTGTGGGAAAATACTGCATTTTTTACAATGTATCGAAATAATGTATTGAAATAATGTATTGTAATAACATTGTGAGGTTTCACACACTACAAAGGGTAAAGAGTGCCTGAAAAGCAGGAGACAGGCAGCAAGACAGACAGGTTCTTGGTGCTATGTTGAAACAGCAAGCCTAGGGAGGAGGAAGACAGAGTGAAGGCACACAGCAAACCTTTTTGTTTCATTTTTACTTGTTTTCATCTACATACACACTTTTCCACACTTTTATTACCCCCGGGTCCAGTGGACCCGAACACCACATATGTAATATAAATGTGTAGGGGGGAGCACAGTGTACTCTCAATTAAAATGTGTTATTTACATGTTCTTCACAGAAAATTAGCCCAGGTTGAAAGAATACTTCATTGTATCATAGTAAACATTGAAAATGTGTCCCACAGACCCGAACACTACACAAGGGTTAAAAAAACCTAACAAATTGTCAGGATTTTGTAGTTCTTAGGTTACTCATGAATGTTTTTGACAGTTTGCGCGCATTTGGCCTATCCCTTTTTCTTGTCAACAATAAATAGCCTAACTTAACAAAACATTACATTTTTACATGAAACAATCATTAAACACGAGTCATCTAAATGTGCCTCTATAATAATAGTTTCTCCATATGTAAACAAAAATAAAATGGAATCTCCTATAAGCAACTTGGCCAAAACAACATTTTACTTTCCTTTTTAGCAACATTACAGATAAATAATCTTAGGCCTACCATTGTTCACCGTCGAAAGTGTCCCAAAAAGGAACAAAAGTACGACAAAATATATTTTAAAGGCTGAAAATAATAAGAATATCTATCCTAAATCAATTCTGTGTCAAATTCGCAGGTGAGCCACACAGTGCGACAAAAGTGAACCTGGGCTTTCTTACCAGGTGAACTCCTGTCTTTCCTCATGGAACGTGGTCAAACTAGTTTGGTTGCTTGTGTTAACTGTAGCTAGGCCTACTTGTGTTAACTGTAGCTAGGCCTACTTGTGTTAACTGTAGCTAGGCCTACTTGTGTTAACTGTAGCTAGGCCTACTTGTGTTAAATGTAGCTAAGCCTACTTCATGCAATATGCATAATCTTAACTTTATTCGTTGGTATCCTTCATTATTATAATGACTCAAAAGCATAACAAGGATCCTATAATTATTGGAACAGTCAAATGTGGCATCATGCATTGTTGAACATATAAGGGCTACTGAGGCGTTCACATAATAGTATTTTATTAAAGCAGTGATTTATACTTTACAAAAAAAAAATATATATTTAAAAAGCATTTCAGTGTATGTGTGTTTGTGTGTGTGTTTATGTGTGTGCAATGATTTAAATGATTGGTTTCTAGTTTAAAATAAACAATCTACAATAGAAATAGAATAAGGTTCCAATACCAATATATTAAAATGTCCAACATATAGGCGATTTACAAATCAATTTGTTGAAAAATAATTTGGCACATTTTATTCTTACAAGGAATTCCATTATGATATTAAAATATAAGTATTCATTTCCAAGCCGATATGTCCAAAATGGTCAGTGCTTGGGAATGAACACATCCAGATTGACAGTATTTGTTGATTAACAAAACAGAATCACACGTGCTTTGCTAGATTTGGATGCGTTGTCATTCACTCCCCAGTGGCTGAGAGAATAGAGAGAGAAAGTCATTATGGGAATGGGTGCTTGCTTTTTATACTCAGGCTATAGCTGCACTAACAGTAGGAATGCTAGTGACAATAATACAATCATTTAGACAACTAAGAATTACACCTAAATAATAAATAGTAATGGTGCAGTTAGAATTACATGTCCATGTAGTCTCATGATGCTGATATTTGTAAAATGATGTTGGGATATTTGGGGATGTTAGTTAATATATGGTTTATACTGTCAATGAACATGTGCCAGTAGCCTAGTTGGATACAGGGTGGTATGGCTGGAGGCACCAAATCCTTTAAGTGCTCAGATACATAATTGTATACTCAAAAACAACTAACACCATTTTTTTTTTACTTTCAAGAATGAGATTGGGAGGCCATGATTGTATTACATTATATATATTTTTTAAGAATAAATTATATTACCTTCATTTGTCAGCATTGCCTCCTTCTCTAGACATGCATTTCTGCCTTGACCTGGAACAGCAGAACTAACATCAGTGCTTCCATAGTTTCCACCGCATTCACTGTCTATGTAAGTAATATAAGATCAAATAACTGGCAATACTTTTGAATAACATTACCAGAGTCAGAGGAAGTGCTGCTAGCGTCATCCTTTATCACTGGGAAAAGAGAATATAATCACTCTTTAGTTAGATACACAGTATTCAGTGATGATCATCGGTCCTCTATAGGCATGCATTTTCCCAATTAAAATTATATTAATTAACTGAAAAAAATCCTCATAGCAAACAATGGGGAATTTCCAATTCATTACTTCAATTAACTTCCTGATTTGACTGAATCAGAATTCCGACTGAATCGAAAACTACCCACCTAGTACATAGAAGATGGGACTTTACGTTTCACGTCAGTGTCATAATAATCCAACTCAGTACAGATAATTCATTTTGTCATGTTGTCCCCCACTATGTTCACAGTGTCTAATTGCTAGTTATTCTTTAGGTGTTTCCTTCCTTGAGACATTTTTTCTTGACTATGATTCACAGTCCTCTCATTTTACAAGTCTATATACCACATGATTTGTGATAAATGTGATTAAAGCAACCTTTGCGGCGAAAAGCAAACATGACAGACCTTGTTGTATTGTTCCTTGTTATAGTCACCTTTGAAAACTCCATGAAGGTGTTTTTTTATAATACCAGAAATCAATGTTATCAGTCAATCATTCTTAATTGTAATTATAATCTACACTCCGTTGCATGAAAGAAATTGGAGCCTTCTCTGCTTTTAACAACTGTAAAACATAACATGACCTCCACTCTACAACTATGAGTTTTGTAAGTCTTACCAGGCATGTTCAAAACAGCCGCCACATTTCCACTGCCTGAAAGTAACAGAGACATGTGAACATGATTGATGTGTAAAAACAAGGATTAGGGGGGCTGTCATTAATTTAATCACCACAAGACATAATTAAATCACTACAATTAACAGTCATAAGATGGCCCATCGTTAGTCATATCCCACCAGATCTGAAGCGCAGCTGGGTCATGCAGCAAGACAATGATCCAAAACACACAATCAAGTCTACATGAAAATTGCTAAAAAGCAACACATTGGAAGTTTTAGAATGGCCTAGTCAAAGTCCAGACCTAATCCCAATTGAGATGTTGTGGCAGGACTTGAAACGAGCAGTTCATGCTTGAAAACCCACACGTCACTGAGTTAAAGCAGTTCTGCATGGAAGAGTGGGCCAAAATTCCTCCACAGCGACGTGAGAGACTGATCAACAACTACAGGAAGCATTTGGTTGGAGTCATTGCAGCTAAAGGTGGCACAACCAGTTATTGAGTGTAAGGGGGCAATTACTTTTTCACACAGGGGAATTGGGTGTTGCATAACTTTGTTTATGAAATAAATATGTAATTGTTGTGTTATTTGTTCACTAATGTTCCCTTTATCTAATATTAGGGTTTGGTTGAAGATCTGATAACATTCAGTATCAAAATAACAAAATGTTCATAAATAAGTATTCATATCCAAGCCGATCTGATCAGAATGGTCAGTGCTTGGGAATGAACACATCCAGATTGACAGTATTTGTTGATTAACAAAACAGAATCACACGTTCTTTGCTAGATTTGGATGCATTGTCACTCACTCCCCAATGGCTGAGAGAATAGAGAGAGAAAGTCATTATGGGAATGGGTGCTTGCTTTTTATACTAAGGCTATAGCTGCACTAACAGTAGGAATGCTAGTGACAATAATACAATCATTTAGACAACTAAGAATTACACCTAAATAATAAATAGTAATGTTGCAGTTAGAATTACATGTCCATGTAGTCTCATGATGCTGATATTTGTAAAAGGATGTTGGGATGTTTGGGGATGTTAGTTAATATATGGTTTATACTGTCAATGAACATGTGCCAGTAGCCTAGTTGGATACAGGGTGGTATGGCTGGAGGCACCAAATCCTTTAAGTGCTCAGATGCATAATTGTATACTCAAAAACAACTAACACCATTTTTTTTTTACTTTCAAGAATGAGATTGGGAGGCCATGATTGTATTACATTATATATCTTTTTTAAGAATAAATTATATTACCTTCATTTGTCAGCATTACCTCCTTCTCTAGACATGCATTGCTGCCTTGACCTGGAACAGCAGAACTAACATCAGTGCTTCCATAGTTTCCACCGCATTCACTGTCTATGTAAGTAATATAAGATCAAATAACTGGCAATACTTTTGAATAACATTACCAGAGTCAGAGGAAGTGCTGCTAGCGTCATCCTTTATCACTGGGAAAAGAGAATATAATCACTCTTTAGTTAGATACACAGTATTCAGTGATGATCATCGGTCCTCTATAGGCATGCATTTTCCCAATTAAAATTATATTAATTAACTGAAAAAAATCCTCATAGCAAACAATGAGGAATTTCCAATTCATTACTTCAATTAACTTCCTGATTTGACTGAATCGAAAACTACCCACCTAGTACATAGAAGATGTGACTTTACGTTTCACGTCAGTGTCATAATAATCCAACTCAGTACAGATAATTCATTTTGTCATGTTGTCCCCCACTATGTTCACAGTGTCTAATTGCTAGTTATTCTTTAGGTGTTTCCTTCCTTGAGACATTTTTTCTTGACTATGATTCACAGTCTTCTCCTTTTACAAGTCTATATACCACATGATTTGTGATAAATGTGATTAAAGCAACCTTTGCGGCGAAAAGCAAACATGACAGACCTTGTTGTATTGTTCCTTGTTATAGTCACCTTTGAAAACTCCATGAAGGTGTTTTTTTATAATACCAGAAATCAATGTTATCAGTCAATCATTCTTAATTGTAATTATAATCTACACTCCGTTGCATGAAAGAAATTGGAGCCTTCTCTGCTTTTAACAACTGTAAAACATAAAATGACCTCCACTCTACAACTATGAGTTTTGTAAGTCTTACCAGGCATGTTCAAAACAGCCGCCACATTTCCACTGCCTGAAAGTAACAGAGACATGTGAACATGATTGATGTGTAAAAACAAGGATTAGGTGGGCTGTCATTAATTGAATCACCACAAGACATAATTAAATCACTACAATTAACAGTCATAAGATGGCCCATCGTTAGTCACATCCCACCAGATCTTTGCTATTGCTGTGTTACTGCTATACATGTAATTGTTCTAGGAAGGAAAAGAAACATAACATTGCATCAACAGTACCATTTAGAGGTGACCAGCCCCTAAAACATTGGAGCAAGATGTTAACGCCAAATATGACAGGTTTTTATTAAATGAGTATCTGAAACAGTGGAAGAAACAGTGGAAACACAGGGGTAGGAAACATAAATATACAATACTTCACTTTGTTTGATCTCCTGACTTGAGATTAACTAAGGTCATGCCCTGATGTCAAAAAAGGTTGTGACATTACCATAATCGCTTTAGTTTATCTCACAGAACAATACCAATAAGAAAAATAACATACTGTATGAAATTCATTCACAATGTGAGAAACGTACATATTTTGCGTCTTTTCCAAAGAACAAACAGTGAGGCAACCAAGATCAACAGGAGGACCACCACAACAAATGCACCAATGATAACACCTGTTTCTTGGGAACAATCACAGCATTTTCCATCTGCATGGAAGACAAGATAAGAGGACATATTCAGCATTAACAATAACATCTTGTACATTGAGCTTGAAAAACAGTTGTCACATTTTAATAATCTGCATTCATGACCTGTTAACAGTCTCAGAAACGTCTGATTTTACCACAATTGATAACCATGCTAATAGCTGTTTTTTTTATTTTATAAATGCAGTACCGGTATATTAAATATAAGGACTACTTTACCCCATTCTTCCACAATGGGCTCCTTCAATGCTCTGTGGTTGACATAGCATTCATAACCGGCTGTGTCAGCTTCTGGGATCTGCACACTCATCCTGATCTGGTAGGTGTCGTCATGATTGGGTAGGACTCCTGTTGACAGCACTCCATCATGTTTGGTCAATTGGACCCCATTCTTCTTAATACGCATAACCACATCTTTGGGATAGAACCCTGTGGCCATGCAGGTCAGTCGGACATGTCCTGCAATTTGGGCCTTTTTAGCAAATGCATATACCTTTGGAGCGGCTAAAGAGTGAATAAACAGAGAACATTAGTGTTTCATTTCTGATCTCACAGGTACAAATATGCCTTTTCTGTAATCCACATTTACACTATTTGAAGTTTAGATGACCATTCAAATGTCAGTCCTTATTAGCCTCTTTCATACAGTAAGTACTCACAATCATCCCTACTGAAATCTTTCTCCTCATATTCCATGAATTTAGACAGCCAGTCCACACACTCCTTTTCCAGGTAGCCCTTGGTGTACTGGTTGAGGATCTGCACCCCGTCCCACTTCCTCTTAGTCGGCAGAGCTTGATCAACTGGGGCCACCCACTGCATAGAGGCATCATCAAAGGCCAGGAAGTCGTCACCATCGTAGCTGTATTGGTCAGTGCCCTTTATGAATTTCAATGTGCCGTCACTCTGTCGGTCAATCTCACAGCCATGCTTCCACTGAAGGATATGGACATCTGAGAGGGAAAACAAGTAGAATAGGAGAGGGAATGGCTCACCTATGGTATAGTCAAGTCTCCACCCCCCCCCCTTTTTTTTGCATTGTGAATTATCTTGGAGTTTTAGTCAAATATCTACATTAGGCTATGTAGAGTGATACCAATGCATGCACGGTCGCTCACCAGTGTTGTTGTGCTTCATGCGGTCCATCAGGATGTTGACGTTAACTTTGAACCACTGCTCCTTGCTCTTGCGTGACTGAGTGCCTTTTTCCCAGTAGTCTGCAGGCAGCTTCTCCCTCATCCAGTCCTGTTTGGGAATCTTCTTCTTTGCCACACTGTCATAGTAGTCAATCTGATTGTCATTCATCAGTCCCATGGCAGTGAACTCATGGATACCAGGCAATTCTACTGGCTTTGACAGGGCAGTGTAGATGTAATTTAGCGACCATTTCTCTACTGGTCACAAAGAGTGAAACATGAGTTAGTCATGACTTCTGAGTAGAGATACAGTCAGGTCCATAAGTATTTGGACAGTGACACAATTTGCATTATTTTGGCTCTGTACACCACCACAATGTATTTGAAAGGAAACAATCAAGATGTGCTTTATACATAGCCCCCCAATTTTAGGGGCTCAAAAGTAATGGACAAACTAACATAATCATAAATTAAATTGTTAGTTTTAATACTTGGTTGCAAATCCTTTGCAGTCAATGACTGCCTAAAGTCTGGAACTCATAGACATCACCAGATATTGGGTTTCTTCCCTGGTGATGCTCTGCTAGGCCTTTACTGCAGCTGTCTTCAGTTCCTGCTTGTTATTGGGGCGTTTTGCCTTCATCAAGTGAAATGCATGATCAATTGGATTCAGGTCAGGTGATTGACTTGGCCATTGCAGAACATTCCACTTCTTTGCCTTAAAAAGGTATTGGGTTACTTTCGCAGTATGCTTCGGGTCATTGTCCATCTGCACTGTGAAGCGCCGTCCAATGAGTTTTGAAGCATTTGGCTGAATCAGAGCAGATAATATAGCCTTAAACACTTCAGAATTTATCCTGCTGCTTTTGTCAGCAGTCACATCATCAATAAATACAAGGGAACCAGTTCCATTGGCAGCCATACATGCCCACACCATAACACTACCTACACCATGCTACCACAGAGGTGGTATGCTTCGGATCATGAGCAGTTCCTTCCCTTCTCCATACTCTTCTCTTCCCATCATTCTGGTACCAGTTCATCTATGTCTCATCTGTCCATAGGATGTTGTTCCAGAACTGTACAGGTTTTTTTAGATGTTTTTTGGCAAACTCTAATCTGGTCTTCCTGTTTTTGAGGTTTACCAATGGTTTACGTCGCTGTATTTACTCTGGTGAAGTCATCTCTTGATTGTTGACTTTGACACAGATACGCCTACCTACCGGAGGGTGTTCTTGATCTGGCCAACTGTTGTGAAGGGGTTTTTCTTCACCAGGGAAATAATTATTGTCATCCACCACAGTTACTTTCCGTGGTCTTCCGGGCCTTTTGGTGTTCCTGAGCTCACCAGTGCGTTCTTTCTTTTTAAGAATGCACCAAATAGTTGATTTTGCCACACCTAATGTTTTTGCTATCTCTCTGATAGGTTTGGTTTGATTTTTCAGCCTAATGAGGGCTTGCTTCACTGGCAGTAGCAGCTCTTTGAACTTCATATTGAGGGTTAACAGCAACATATTCCAAATGCAAATGCCACACTTGAAATCAACTCTAGACCTATAATCTGCTTACTTGTAAATGAACTAATGAGGGAATAACACACACCTGGCCATGGAACAGCTAAGCAGCCAATTGTCCAATTACTTTTGATCCCTTAAAAAGGGGGGGGACCACATATAAAAAGTGCTGTAATTCCTACACTGTTTACCCGATTTGGATGTAAATACCCTCAAATTAAAGCTGTAAGTCTGCACTTTCAGCTCATTTTCATTATTTAATTTAAACTCCAATATGCTGTGGTAGACAGCAAAAATAATAATAACTTGGTCAATGTCCAAATATTTATGGAACTGACTGTAAATACTTCTTCAAAGCCCAAAATAATTGATGACGATTGTTTTAAGAAATATCAAATTAATTGGAATTCTAAATGAAGGGATGATGGTGATTAAATATATCTTAATCAATCTGTACATTTTTTCATATTATTTGTATTTAATAATCATTCCATTTTTGTTCACCACTTAGCTTACAATGGTTATTGAAAGAGAACAACCTAAAAAAAATATGATCCTGGATTAATGAAATTGAACACTAGTCTAGTCTACGCCATAGCATTTCCAACCAATTAAACTGTCCTTTTCTGTTGCCAGGTGAGATAGTTTTCACAGGTGTACAGTCAGGTACAGTCAATGGAACTTGGCAGCAACAAGCAAAACATAAACATTGTAGCCTAATTATCAATACAGTTTTAAGAACTAAATAAAATGTTGGGACGTTGTAGTTATTAAGTAACTAATTATTATTTTTGACAGTTCACAAGCATTTTCGTGTCAACAGAACAATAAATAACCTAACAAAACAACATTTTCACATGATACAATAATTGAACATCAATCGTCAAAATGTGCCTCTATAATAATCATTTCTCCATGTGTTTTTGTTTTTTTACGTAGGCCTATTGCAACTTACCCAAAAAACATATTACTTTCACTTTTAGCAACATTACAGACAAATAAATATTCTTACCACTGTCCACCGTTGAAGGTTTTGCAAAAAGGAACAAAAGTACGACAAAATACATTTTGAACGCACACATGAATGATGAATGGCCCGAAAATAATAATAATAATATGCCTCTCCGAAATAAAGTCTGGTCCCAGGTGAGCCGCACAGTGTAACAACAGTGAACCTTGGCTTTCACAACCAGGTGAGCTCTAGTCTTTCCTCATGGAACGTGGTCAAACAGGTCAAACAAGTTTGGTTGGTCATGTAAACTGTAACTGTAGCTAGGCTTACTTCATGCAATATAAATAAACGTACCTTTATTCATTGCTATCTTACAGGGGTCCTAAAATTACTGGAACAGTCAAATGTGACATGAATTGTTGAACACATACTGTAAGGGCTACTGAGGTGTTCACATTGGTTCATAAAGTAGTCCTTTATTAAAGCAGTGATTTATACTTACAAATATATATATACACTACCAGTCAAAAGTTTGGACACACCTATTCATTCAAGGGTTTTTCTTAATTTTTACTATTTTTTACATTGTAGAATAATAGTGAGTTTATTTGCAACCAAGTTTTAATACTTGGTTGCAAATCCTTTGCAGTCAATGACTGCCTAAAGTCTGGAACTCATAGACATCACCAGATATTGGGTTTATTCCCTGGTGATGCTCTGCTAGGCCTTTACTGCAGCTGTCTTCAGTTCCTGCTTGTTATTGGGGCGTTTTGCCTTCATCAAGTGAAATGCATGATCAATTGGATTCAGGTCAGGTGATTGACTTGGCCATTGCAGAACATTCCACTTCTTTGCCTTAAAAAGGTATTGGGTTACTTTCGCAGTATGCTTCGGGTCATTGTCCATCTGCACTGTGAAGCGCCGTCCAATGAGTTTTGAAGCATTTGGCTGAATCAGAGCAGATAATATAGCCTTAAACACTTCAGAATTTATCCTGCTGCTTTTGTCAGCAGTCACATCATCAATAAATACAAGGGAACCAGTTCCATTGGCAGCCATACATGCCCACACCATAACACTACCTACACCATGCTACCACAGAGGTGGTATGCTTCGGATCATGAGCAGTTCCTTCCCTTCTCCATACTCTTCTCTTCCCATCATTCTGGTACCAGTTCATCTATGTCTCATCTGTCCATAGGATGTTGTTCCAGAACTGTACAGGTTTTTTTAGATGTTTTTTGGCAAACTCTAATCTGGTCTTCCTGTTATTGAGGTTTACCAATGGTTTACGTCGCTGTATTTACTCTGGTGAAGTCATCTCTTGATTGTTGACTTTGACACAGATACGCCTACCTACCGGAGGGTGTTCTTGATCTGGCCAACTGTTGTGAAGGGGTTTTTCTTCACCAGGGAAATAATTATTGTCATCCACCACAGTTGCTTTCCGTGGTCTTCCGGGCCTTTTGGTGTTCCTGAGCTCACCAGTGCGTTCTTTCTTTTTAAGAATGCACCAAATAGTTGATTTTGCCACACCTAATGTTTTTGCTATCTCTCTGATGGGTTTGGTTAGATTTTTCAGCCAAATGAGGGCTTGCTTCACTGGCAGTAGCAGCTCTTTGAACTTCATATTGAGGGTTAACAGCAACATATTCCAAATGCAAATGCCACACTTGAAATCAACTCTAGACCTATAATCTGCTTACTTGTAAATGAACTAATGAGGGAATAACACACACCTGGCCATGGAACAGCTAAGCAGCCAATTGTCCAATTACTTTTGATCCCTTAAAAAGGGGGGGGGACCACATATAAAAAGTGCTGTAATTCCTACACCGTTTACCCGATTTGGATGTAAATACCTTCAAATTAAAGCTGTAAGTCTGCACTTTCAGCTCATTTTCATTATTTAATTTAAACTCCAATATGCTGTGGTAGACAGCAAAAATAATAATAACTTGGTCAATGTCCAAATATTTATGGAACTGACTGTAAATACTTCTTCAAAGCCCAAAATAATTGATGACGATTGTTTTAAGAAATATCAAATTAATTGGAATTCTAAATGAAGGGATGATGGTGATTAAATATATCTTAATCAATCTGTACATTTTTTCATATTATTTGTATTTAATAATCATTCCATTTTTGTTCACCACTTAGCTTACAATGGTTATTGAAAGAGAACAACCTAAAAAAAAATATATCCTGGATTAATGAAATTGGACACTAGTCTAGTCTACGCCATAGCATTTCCAACCAATCAAACTGTCCTTTTCTGTTGCCAGGTGAGATAGTTTTCACAGGTGTACAGTCAGGTACAGTCAATGGAACTTGGCAGCAACAAGCAAAACATAAACATTGTAGCCTAATTATCAATACAGTTTTAAGAACTAAATAAAATGTTGGGACGTTGTAGTTATTAAGTAACTAATTATTATTTTTGACAGTTCACAAGCATTTTCGTGTCAACAGAACAATAAATAACCTAACAAAACAACATTTTCACATGATACAATAATTGAACATCAATCGTCAAAATGTGCCTCTATAATAATCATTTCTCCATGTGTTTTTGTTTTTTTTACGTAGGCCTATTGCAACTTACCCAAAAAACATATTACTTTCACTTTTAGCAACATTACAGACAAATAAATATTCTTACCACTGTCCACCGTTGAAGGTTTTGCAAAAAGGAACAAAAGTACGACA